ATGCAAAAGAATGACTAGTGCAAAGTACGTAGGATGTGAGCAGTTAGATTGGCAAGTTGTCGGGACCAATGGTGCGCGCTAGTGATGTGAGAAGGGCCCCTTGATTTAGTCGGCGGGCCTAAGTTGAGGAGGGAGTCTCTGCCTCATCGACGCCGCTAGACTCTGCACCTAGGAAATGAATGTATGGCCCAAGGAGGATGCTTGGCCTGTGCGCAAAAGAAAAACTCTCAAAAAAGTCCTTGGACTGCTTGTGCATTAGGAGTAATTGCCTGCGAGCACAACAAGGAATCGAGAACTAACACTTGCCTAGATCAGCGAGACTACCCACCTTAGAGCGAGGGCTGAGCTACCTCCTCCAATGTAAAAGCTCTCTTGCTCGATGGCCCACCCCCATCCATCTCAAAGCACTAGGTGGGGGTGACCCTGTGACAAACATCCCGCGCCCTGGATATATACTTTGGGCGGGGTTGAGCCAACTGAAACCCCATGGAAGGGTCAACTAGGCTCGAAAGTCTTATAGGGTGGGGCCCTACAACGACCAGGTTCGTTCAGTTCTCCCTTGTGCTTTTTCCCGATTCCTCGTTTTGACCTCGACCCCCTCTCTTCTTCACTCCTGCTCTTGTGCACACACTTCCTCTTCCTGCTGCCTTCGACTCTTTCTCCCTTCTTGAATGTACCTGCTATTGCCCAGTTGCAGCACGCCTCACTAATAGCTGCCCGTCCACCAATGGTAGGTGAGATGAAAATGAACCCAAATGAGAAGTACAATAACCGTAGCCTGGCGGCAACACGCACCAAGTCGAGCAGCTCGACCACGTCTCACACGACGAGCTTTGCCCCGAAGATGACCACTACTAGGTAGGTCTTCTTACTCCTCATCTCTCTCCCGTCTTCTTCTTTATCTCGTCCTCGTCACCCTCTCGTCAACTTCTTCAAGTCCTTCCTCGTCAGCCCCGTTGAACCTTCTCTCCTTGGATACAGCGCAGTCTAATAGCAAACGGTCCGACAGCGTGCGTGATTGCAAAAAACAAATAACGGCAAAAAGGTCACCCTGAATTTTATTCATGCTCTCCTTGCGCAGGGGCCATGCTAATCTTCTCTGTATCTTTCCAATTTTAACGGATGTCTCGAAGGACTACGCCGGGTCATCTGCCTCGAAGTATCATCATTAAGCTGAGCGGCCCCAGGCAATTGAGAAATACTTGGTTTTCCTCATCTGGTTCCGGTGGATTTCGAACACAGACCTATATTTCGACAGTTCAGAGGTGTACCAACTGAGCTAGGCGCACTGGTCCCTCTACCGGTTTCAGCACCGGTCCCGTGTCCTAGGAACAGGACCGTAAGTAAAATAGATGATGAAAACAGAAATCTAAAAAAAGAAAGAAGACGGCACTCGGGGAAAGGAGGGGGGAGTCATTGGCACCCCCTCGGCCCATGATTGGGACCGATTGCAAAACCAAAAGGAATAGCCATGTGAGACCCTCAACCCCTCGGTCTCTCTGACCACTTTAGTGGTCCGTCGCTCCTTTGCTGCTACTTGCTGGCCTCGATCCTCATATTTCCAAGGTAAAAGTCCAGTGTTGTAACCTATAGGGCTAAGCCCAAGTCTGAACATAACAAGCACGGTTTTCCATACAAAGAACGCTTGCACAGAGTTTTGTTGCAGCAAGGGGGAACTAAGGCCACACCTTGGCCGTTCGATCGAATCCACACAAAGGCCACACCTTGGCCTGTCGCTTGTACTTCATTGCACACACAGTTCTCCACACAAAGGCCCCACCGCCGTTGAAGCTGGCCTCCGCAAAAAAGATTAACTGTTCCTCCGAGACCGTTTTTACCATCTCGTTAGCAGATATCCCGACCTCCGTCGTACCAAACTCCATCCATGCACACCTCGCCGAGGTCATTGGCAATTCCCACTAACAGGCAAACACATGAAATCAAAGCGCCCCTTTGCACTATGTACTAATTAAACCCCAACGCTACCTTAAACAAAACAATCGTAATTACTTTTTAATTGCGGCACCATCGGGCGCGGCAGTGCCATTTCCACGCACGCAGACAGACCACAAGCAAACATACCAACCAAAGTCCTAGCTTAATCAAAATAAAAATTCTTCAGCAAAAATGCCGGTTTACATCATACTGAAAAGAAAATACCACACGCCCCTGAAACTTGCGCGTCCACGCACTCTACTTTGTCGTACTAGTAATCGCATCGTTGACCATCGGAAAACCGACTGCACTCATTCAAAGCTTCCGGATTTTCCATAAAAGTTCTGTCTCTGTGACTTGTAAAAACAGCACCCTTGTATGGGTATTCGCACCGACACCGGGAAAGGCCATGTCTTGGCAGCTTCGTTGGTCCTCTTGAGAAGTTGAGAGTCAGTCTCTGGTCATAGCACCGCTCGAACTGAGAGACGAAACTCATCGGTTTGTCAAAGCTTTCGACTTGGTCGATCCAGAAAGATATAATCACTGTCACGCCATCAAACACCCGACAACCATGGACCATGTCTGCACCTAGGGTACTCGGGAAAGAAAATTCACAATAGGCGCATAACAAACACGCGAGGGCGGGACTGTTACTCGTTCCCATCGGAGTACCCTCCTTCTATTGGAGAATTGTCTGACTCGCAACCATCATCGTGTTTGACAGGTCAAACTTCATGGAGCGCAGAATCAGGTCAAATGTTAACGTTCGTCATCCGACCTCTCCAGCTACTATTCCAAAAGTCGCACCTTTGCCTCTCACCTTGACCCGTTCCCTGTTCAGTCCTTGGTCTTCATACCACTCTATAATCCATTCAACTGCTCTCAGTATCGCTTCATGCGGCAGCTTGGGAAAGGCATATTTGATGTCATAGCTAGCCGCGATCAGATCCTGTTGCTTACCTTTCCTGCCTTCAGTCTTCTTGATGATCAAGATGCAGTCCACCAATTGCTGGGTACTCTTCAAGTTGAAGTTGGAGCGCTTTGGTAAGCTCCACAAAATGAAGTTCAACGCTCTCCCAACCGATCTGGACATCCCCCCAGCTGGTTCACCGTAGGAAGGGTCTTAGAAACAAGGATTATTCTTCAATCCTTGATTTGCGCTGAGCCTAACAGTCCAACAACGATGTCATGAAAGTTCTCAGAAACAAGGGGTTCAAAGCAGTGCACAGGATGTTCCCAACCCTATGATTAGCAGCAGCTCAGAAACTGGATTGATGAATGCCTAGAACTGGGAACAGGCGATTTTCGGGTAAGGATTACCACACTAACCTTTCCTCTGATTCACGTCGGTCTCTAGTCCAAAGGGGTCATTCATCTGATTCATGTCCGTCTCTAGTCCAAAGTAACGACATCATGACTGCTCCGAGGGTCGGTGGAAGCTGGAAGGTGTTTCAGGGATGAGTGCATGTCCCTGTGACTATCTAACGAGATTCGTGTATATGCATATCGATGTGCCACACATAAATTTCTGGACGCAGGCTGAATTTCAGGAATGACCGTTGTTTCACACAATTCAAAATATGCCATGTCCACGGCGACACTATTAAGAACCAAGTAAGGCAGTGTGAGCTTCAAATGGCCTACATATGGAGGACAATGAAGCTGTACTCATCCCATGACCAATGGACAAGAGTGGGCCCAGTTGATGACAGAGGTATGCGGATGGATGGTGGCTGTGTACCTACTGATGACCAAGATTGAAGCCACTCTGGCTGATGATAGAAACAACCACCGCAGTAACAGGCAAGGGTCTAGTTGATGACCAAGGTATGGGGGCGGATGGTGGCCATGTATCTACCGATGACAGAGACTTAAGAGTACTTCCAGGTGATATATAACCGACAATGACCCAAACAACTGTAGTACCAACCACAAGCAATGGAGAGGGTCTAGCTGATGAAAGAGGTATGGGGACGGATGGTGGTCGTGTACCTACTGATGACAGAGACTAAGAGTACCTCCAGGTGATAAAGTCAACAGTGACTACAACAACCAATAGTACTGCGATAGCCTCTAGGTGGGTATACCCGGGTTGCTCAGGGGATGTCATAGGTTAGACCTTGGTCAGGGAGGGGCATTAGACACTGGCTCTGATATTTAGGGTGTGCACATCTAGTTCCATGCACTGGGGTGCCTGGGTACATTTGGGGGCATTAAGGGTCTACCCATGGGGCCCATAGAGAGAATGCTTACGCCTAGCGCCCGAAGTATCCATACGGCAGGGCTCCTTTGAACATGCTTCAACCAGGGCTCAGCGGGGTTCCTGATCAGCCCTGGCGCCTGCAACCGCTGTCCAATGCGAAGCACGAAAAGTCATAATGGGATATCTCTCCTAAGTACCCAAATTCATGCCGTGAAATGGACGGTACAAAATCAAGTCTCTTGGGTTAGGCGCGAAGCGCACGGAAAAGTATACCGAAGAAAGATACACCCAAGACTCATTCTCCGCCGAGCCCCACCCTACCAAGATCGTAGAAGGGTGATCATCGTGGGTGGTAGACACTGAGGTGGGACTGGGAAGTGGGCCTGCGTCGTGGAGAATTGACAAGAGGAAGGTGGGTGGGGTGCCATAAGGGGTAAGACCCAGAGGGAGTGGGGGGGAGGGGGGAGACCTCTAGACTCCGTCCAAGTATAGATTTCGTTGGTGTTCACTGTTTAGCCTCCATCCTAGGAAGGGTCGGGGAGGTAGAGGAAACTGCAATGAGTATTCTCTTGGTCAGTGGTTGCTGGGTTGACAGTTTAACTCCTTGTCTTCATGATGCAAGAATCGAGTGATTCTTTGGGAGTTCTTTGGAGAGTAAGAGGAAGGAGGAGGATGGTTGGGGAAATGTGCTTCAGGACATTCGTTAGAAGTGGAATGATACACAGAAGATTTGCATGGCCCCTGCGGAAGGAGGGCACACATAAATTGAGAAATGCTCCAAATTGAAAAACCAAAAAAAACATGGTTGGGGGAGGACGAGATTCAAGACGAAGAGGCTTTGTCTTCATATACTCACCTAAATCTCAGCACTCCCTGTTTATCCTCTTTTCCCCTCTCCATTTCATGCTGTGAATCCAATTTGATGCTACTCTTGAGACACAAACTTGCTCTTTCCATCACAGAGAAATAGTCCAAGATCATAACAAAAGCCTTTCGGTTCCACTGCAGTGGTGGGGAGCATCACCTGGAAACAACCAGGGCCATTGTCTCAGGTTCAGGCATCATAACATGAAGAGTGTGGTGAAACACTAGTCAGCGCTTCTATGCACATACGTGCTCTCGCTGACTGTTAGCCAAGATTTTCCACTGAGCCTCCTCAGATCTTTCGACACCCACCCAGTTTTCAGTCAGTTAATTCATCGCCATACTGTTTTAAACCACCACTACCTCCGAGCCTCTTTTAGCCGAGGTAGAAAAGAAGTATGTGCCAAGCTTTGCCGAAGCGCCAGCGCGACCCTTTTTTTTTTTTTTTTTTTATCCCTTGGCCGGTGCCGCCAGCCATTTTGGTCCGGTAGCACTGTTCGCCTGAAAATCATGGATCGCAACATCTTGTTGTTCCCAGGTTGCCTGTGAAAGGTAGTAGCGGTTTAAGCAATTCACGTTCTGGATCTTCTTCCTCCAATGCCTGTTGCAGTCCGAAACTGCTTCGGCCAACCCAGGCACAAAATATCATTATCATGCTGTTGTTGTGTTGTCTTCTCACGGCCACGCTGCATTGTTTTACCCTTTCTCTCCTCTGCTTCCTTCAAGCAGTTCCCCTCCCAACTTCCTTGGACATGGGACGAGAAAGGCAATCACCTTCCCATCCAGTCCAAGAATTCCAACTTCTGACATGATCTGAAGTACCAATGAAGTAGGACAAGAGTGTTCCTCTCTCGATCAGTTGCAAGAGTTGAAGATATACCAGTTCTTGCACTCAACAACCAGATTGTTTGAAGTATTGCGAAACTTTTGCCAACAAAACACTGAAAACTCTGATCCGCATCAAGCAAAACCATCAAAGCTTCAGCAAAAAGTTAGTTGAGTTGTTGATAGAAAGGGAATACGATAATCACAGGTTGTCTCAACAAGAGTACCTTGCGCCATTCTAGACTAAAGAGGACAGAGGGCCCTTCTACACTAAATAGGAAATGACAAACCACAATCATAGTATGGCGGGCAGTCGTAAAAGTTCTTGGTTTGCCTATTTGTATCAATAACATTCTCATTAGTCAATAAGGCTGAATAAGCAACTCAAGTCCTGCAGTTCGCCCTTGGCACTCAGAAACAACTGCTGATGGAAGTACAACTGAAGTTATCAGTGCATGCCCGGAGATGAGCATGCTTCTATCCTTAAACTTCAAGATGGTAACGGCTTCAGAAACATGACGATGCCTCAAGTACAAGTTTTCAAAGGTTTTAGGTCCTATAATCTTGGAGGTTTAGCAGGACGAAGGCCAACCTCTAGTCAAGGTAAACGTTATTCTGTTCAAGAAGCTTGAGCAGGAGGCTGTGAATTTTCTATCCGCCAGCACGCGATGGCCAGGAAGACTTGTTGACGGTTGTTATGCCTGTTTGGCCCGTAGCTGAGCTGCGACAGCCTGGTTGATCCTCAAGAATGAACGAAGGATGACAATTGATG